AGTTTTTTATCTAAATGTATACTTGTGCACCACCTATGTGCAGCCCATGTGGAGGCCAGAAGAGGTTGGTTAGCTCCCCTGGGATTGGAATAAGAGACACTTTGTGATCAGCCATGTGAGTGCCGGGAATTGGACACAGTGTTTTCTGGAAGAGCAGCCAGTGCTCTTAACCACTGAGACAGCTCCACAGTCCTTTTTTGGAGATTTGTTTATTTATTTACTTAGTGTATGTGCGTGTCCCCTGATGCCCAGGAGCAAGGTTAGTGGACAAGATTCTACGGATAGGGTCCTGCCACACTCGAGACCCCGGGGAATTTAACTCAGTTCATCAGACTTAGCAGCAAGTGCCTTTGCTATCCTGATGCAGCTCAGCAGCCCTCAGCCTTTTAGAAAGAATTTTTAGAAAACATTTATTTGGGTTTTGTTTATGGGTCTTCAAGAGAGGGTTGAAGACACCCTGCCAGAGTTGTGGTTATTTCGTCACATGGTTCCTGGGGACAGAACTTAGATTGTTAGCCATGGCAGAGGGGAAAATTAAAAAAATGTAGGGTGTACTTAATTTCATGTGCATAAATGTTGTGCCTATATGTAAGTCTGTGTGTCGTGTGCATACCTGGTGTTTGTGGAGGTCAGATGTAGGCATGTGAATTCCTGGAAAGAGAGGTAGGAAGGAGGTGAGCCATGGTGCAGGTTCTGGTGCTGAGAACAGAACCCAGGTCCTCTGCAACAGTAAGGACTATAAGCCTTCCTGAAGAGGTTAGAAGACACTCTACTCCTCCAGAGTTGCCACTTTTCTCCCACCAAGATGTTTTCGAGGATGGAACTCAGCATTGGGCCAAGCCACCAGTGTCAGCTCCTTTCACCTTGTGGGTCCCTGGATTTGAACCCAGATTTCCAGACCATTTTGCAGGCACCTTTACTCTCTAATATGTCTTTCCAGTTCACCCCCTTCCCCATCATAAAACAAACAAACAAACAAAAAAAAAACAAAAAAAACCTTTTCATTTGTAAAACATCACCTTCTGTTTGCCAGAGTTATTTGCCCTCCCAAGTGGTTCCTGGGGATTGAACTCACTTGCAGCAGCTTTAAAACCTTTAAAATGTGTATATCTTGAGCGTGCCTGTGACAGTGCAGATGGGCCCCTGGTAGGAGTTTGTTCTTGCTTTTCTCCACCTGAGACTCGTGATTAGATTCTAAGACTTGCCAGCTTGCCTGAGAAATCTCTCCAATACTTAAAAAAAATACCCTTTCTTTAAAACAGTTTTTACTCATTTAGTGTCATTGTGTGTAGTGTGTGTGTGTGTGTGTGTTGTTAAATGATGCCACCCCCACGGCAGTCCATTCTCTCTACCGTCAATTGGGTTCAGGGTCCTTTACCTGTAGAACCATCTTAATGGCTGCTTTTCAAAAATCTATTTTCTGAAACTTTTTAAAGAGTGCGTGAAGTGTGTGTGTGTGTGTGTGTGTGTGTGTGTGTGTGTGTGTGTGCGTGCGCGCGCGCGTGTGCATGTGGGCATGCGTGAGCACCAGCAAAGAGGTTATATGAAAACACTCTCCTTCCATCAGGTTGGGGCTGACACTTCAGTTTAAATGGATGGCAGGAACTTTTATTCATGTCTCCCCCTCCCCTACACATAAACACACAGTCCCTTAATTAGTATGTGATGAGTACTGGAATGTGTGTATGCGCTATGCATGTAATACCCAAAGAGGCCAGAAGAGGGCATCAGATATCCAGGGACTGGAGTGGCTGACAGTGGTGCAATGCCAGAGTTTGGGAATTGAATCTGAGTCCTCTTCAAGAGCATCCAGTGCTCTTTCTTCTTTCCTTCCTTCCTTCCATTCTTCCTTCCTTCCTTCCTTCCTTCCTTCCTTCCTTCCTTCCTTCCTCTCTCTCCCTCCCTCCCTCCCTTCCTCTCTCTTCTTCTTCTTCTTTTTTTTTTTTTGGTTTTTCGAGGCAGGGTTTCTCTGTATGGCTTTGGAGCCTGTCTTGGCACTAGTTCTGTAGATCAGGCTGGCCTCGAACTAACAGAGATCTGTCTGCCTTTGCCTCCGGAGTGCTGGGACTAAAGGCATTTGCCACCAACGCCTGGCTCTTTCTTTTTTTCTTATTTGTTTTTCCAGCAGGGTTTCTCTGTGTAGCCCTAGCTGTGTAGCTCTCTCTGTAGAACAGGTTGGACTTGAAATCACAGAGATCGGCTTGCCTCTGCCTCCTGAGCGCTAGGGTTAAAGGCGTGTGCCACCATCGCCTGGTTCAGCACCCCTTTTAAATATTTTTTATGTCTTTATTTTCTGTGTGGTACATGTATGGTTGTGCTGCTGAGGAGGTTAGAAGTCACGTGGCCAGAGTGGGCAGGAGGCTTGCACCAGGTGCTTTGCAGGGGCAGAACATCAGGCTTGGCAACAGGCACCTTCACCTGCTGAGCCATCTTCCTACTCCCTTTAAGATACATCTAAAAATATTTTTTCTTCAATGCAGCTGCTTTACTCCATGGGTCCAGGGAATGAAGCTCAGATTGCCAAGCGTTGTGCTTTTACCTTCTGATCCATGTCACTGACCTTTGCTTTTTTTTTCTCCTTAAGCATGTGTCTTATTTATTTATTTATTTATTTATTTATTTATTTATTTATTTTTCTGCATACATATATCTCTGTAGGCCAGACGAGGGCACCAGATCTCATTATAGATGGTTTTGAGCCACCATGTGGTTGCTGGGAATTGAACTCAGGACCTCTGGAAGAGCAGCCATTGCTCTTGACCACTGAGCCATCTCTCCAGCCCCCTATACAACATGTTTTTAAAACAATCTATTTTATGTGTTACTGGTAGTCGTTTGTGGGTATGGGGCCTTGTGTGCAGGTGCCTGCAGGCAACAGGGTAAGATGACACCCAGACAGAGTTGAATCTCTCCTTCCAACCCCAAGATTCTCGGGGATCAAACTCAGACTTGACAGCAGGCACCTTTACCCTTATTTTGCTGATGCTTAAAAAAAATCAGTTTTAGTCTGGCAGTGGTGGCACAGACTTCAATCCTAACACTTAGGAGGCAGAGACAGGTGGATCTCTGTGAGTTCAAGGCCAGCCTGGTCAACAGATTGAGTTCTAGGACAGGCTCCAAAGATACACAGAGAAACCCTGTCTGAAAGAAATCAGTTTGAACATTTTACATATTTTGTGTATGTGCCTGTGTGTGTTTTGGGTAGTGGGGACAGGGTGGTCAGAGGATAACCTGCAAGAATTTGCTCTTTCTTCCCACCTTGTGGATCCTGGGATTCAACTGACATTGTGAGATCTTGCAGCAGGCCCTTCTACCTCCTGGGACATCTTACCATCCCTTTATCTCTTTTTGCAAAACACTTTTACTTATTTAGTGTGTGTGTGTGTGTGTGTGTGTGTGTGTACATTCATGCATGTGAGTAGGGGCCTAGATGGGTCAGAGTTAGTTCCATTTTTCCACCATGCCTGACCTGTATTTAGACTACAAATGTCCTACTTGTTGCAGGAATCTTAATCCAGTGTATGAGTTGTCCCCTTCAACAGCCTGTCCCCCAGCACCTGACACTTTTTAATAGTTAATTGTGTGTGTGTGTGTGTGTTATGTTTATTTGTTTGTGAGAAGCAGTTAGAAGTCAGGTGGCTAGAGAAGGCTCATTCTTTCCACCAGGTAGTTCACAGGGATGTGTCGACTTTTTGGCAGACCTCAGCAGACCTTGATTCCTGGACCTGGGATTTGAAGACCTGAAAAAATGGGGTGGACTACCGTCTAATGCTGTAAACAACTTTACTTCAGTTTCAGTGGACTTTATACATGAATATATCAAAGAAAGCAATGGTCCAAGGAAGGTTCTTGAGTTCAGAAAACCATGACCAGGAGAATATGTAAATAAATGAATATGTAAATTAATAGAGCTGCCCTTTCCCAGAACTTTCTTAGGACAGACCAATTTAAACACAATTGCTTGGCACGTACTATAGATTATATCTGGGGAAGCATATTTTCGTATTTAGGAATACATTTAGCAAGGAAGAAAAAAAGCTAAATTTAAGAGAGCAAGGAGGAGGCACATGGGAAACTTTACAGGGAGAAAGGGGAAGGAGGAAATATGTAATATCAAAAGATTTAAAAACCAAATCAAAATTAGCATTTGGATGCTTTCACTTAAAAATAGTACTTAATAAATACAATTATGGATCATTTGCCATATCTTGCTGGGCTAGTGTATGATGGACTAGTTTAAGGAGTGAACAATTTCGTTTTGTGGGACACTGGTAGAGATAGGTAGGTGGCTGGGAGCTAAGAACTATGATTTTCCTCTGGGAAGCTTATTTAATTTGAGTGTAACAGACTGAAGTTATTACAATGAATGCCTTCTAAGCAAGCTGGACAACAAGGATCTTAGATCAAAGCTTAACTCTAATCGTGATAAACCCTCTTAGTGTTTTTTAGGGATTCGAAGGGGAAAAAAGGAGCGGTGTGTGCACGCATGCGTGCGAGCGTGTGTTATACATACAGAGATTTCATAAGCTCACACCATACAGGCAAATATAATCGCACACGAAGCACATTGAGAATTGGCGGTATTTATGTATTGCATTCATCGTAACTTTCCTTCAGGTATAAGCGTTTCAGAATTAGTGTTCGGTGCAGTTTAAACTTCGGAACCCTCGGGAGGCAGAGGCAGGAGGATCTCTGTGAGTTCGAGACCAAAGTGGTCTACAAGAGCTACTTCCAGGGCAGCCTCCAAAGCCACAGAGAAACTGTCTTGAACTCCCACCTCTCCCCTCCCCCCCAAATCGGAAACCTCCCTAGGAACTGTATGGGCCCATTGTCCCAGGTTCCTGACCGGCTTCTATATACTAACACACACACACATCCCTTCCTGTCGGCTACACGGAGCCCAGGGGAAGGGGTTTAGCGACGTACCCGGAACTGTCTCGACGCTTTTTGGCTTTTTTTGCTTTTTTTCTTTCTGGTTTGATAAACGCTGCGGGCTCTTGGACCCCCGGCATCCTAGACCTTTTGAGGAGCGGCGTGAGCGCTCCCTTGTCCCGCCCCTTGGCGGGTTCAGCTTCCACCACCATGGCTCCCGTGTCAGGCTCGCGGAGCCCGGAACGGGAGGCCTCTGGGGGAAAACGTCGCAGCCCGTCGAGGAGCCCTAAGCCCAGCAAATCTTCCCGCTCGCCGCGGTATCGGCGCTCGCGCTCGCGCTCTTGTTCTCGGCTCTGCGACCGCAATGGCCTCAGCCATTCGCTGAGTAGCTTCAGTCAAAGCTCTCGAAACCAATCTTACCGCTCGCGCTCGCGCTCGCGCTCTCGAGAGCGGCCCTCTACGCAGCGGAGTGCCCCCTTTGCTTCTTCATCCTCGTCCGCCTATTATGGCGGCTACTCGCGCTCCTACGGGGGCGACAAGCCATGGCCAAGCCTGCTGGACAAGGAGAGGGAGGAGAGTCTGCGGCAGAAGTGAGTGAGATCGCCGCACCCTCCCCTTGGATGACTCTGCCCGTTTGGAGTCCGGCTTGTCGTTCATTGTTTCTGGTTGTATTTCGCTTCCCATCCGCCTCGCGCCTTTTCCCATCCTTTTCTTCAATCCACTCCACGGCCTTTTTGAAAAAAAAAATATCTTTTTCTAACTTACATTTTCATTCATCCCTAGACTCCACCATAAAGTGCCCCGTTTCCTCTCTACCTACTTCCTCCCTTGTCTTTGCAGGCGGATGTTGCTAGGAGCCTCAGCTCTATTGTATTTTCCTTGGCAGTGAACTTGTCTTTATTCCTCACTTAACTGGACTTGTGGGAAGAAGAGGTCCTATTTTATAGATCACAGAATTAGTAGTGCCTGCCTCTTGGTAGGCATACAACCGTTGCTTGTTGCATGAAGGAACAGGCGAGTTTGAGATAACAGGATATGTCAATGGAACAGTTTTGTGGGTGTTTGGGAAGGATTGTAATTAAGGATCTGTATTGTATAGGAGGAAACCTTCCTCTATGCAAGATAAGATGAATGTAGAGAAAAGTGCTCTGCCAAGATGTAGGTGAGGCTACATTAGGAAGAGTTTTTGTAACGTGGTCTCAGCCCATTTCAAAAACAACGAGAGAATGAGATCTGATATCCTCTAATGGGGTTCTTAGTTGCAGGAGCTGTGAAGTTCCCAAGGGAAGTCAGACCGGTGTTGCCCTCATCTACATAGCAAGTTTAAGGCCAGCCTGGTATACATGAGACCTTGTCACAAAAATTCTTAAATTAAAAAAAAAAAAAAATTGGGCATGATGGCTCACTCCTGTGATTCTAGCATTCAGAAAGCCGAGGCAGTTGCCACAATTAGTTAGAGGCCACCCTGACTACAGAATAAATTCAAGGCTGGCCTGAGGGAGAGTGAAACCGAGAGATAGATAGAGAGATAGATAGATAGATAGATAGATAGATAGATAGATAGATAGATAGAGAGGCTTGTATTCCTGCATTAGTCATAGTATCTGATACTTATGAAGTTTATTATGTTTGTTAAATCTTCTGTCTTAGACATTGTAGTAGGCCTTGGACCATGTGTTTAAAAAGGATAAAAGTTAAAGTATCACAGGCATTGAGGGGCAAGTTAGCTTTTCAACTGTTGAGAGATGTTTTCATGATTTTTCTTCTCCCATAGGGGAGGAAATAAATTACAATAAAAAGGGCAGGCTTCCCAGCCGCACTGCCTGTGTTTGAAGGCTTTATTTGCCATGGAGCAGGGTAGTTTTGGGCAAGTTCGTTGACCTCTCTGAGCTGGTGTTGGAACTCAGTGGAAGAGTGCTTGCCTTGCAAAGCTGAGGACATGGTTGGATCAGTACTCCAGAAAGGGGAGAGGGAAATTAGTAGCACGGCTTTTCAGATTGTAATAACTTCCATAAGTGCATGGAAACAGAAACAGTAAGACAGAGCTGAATTTTTTTCTTTTGTTTTCTAAGACAGGGTTTCTCTGTAGCCCTGAATGTCCTGGAACTAGCTCTGTAGACCAGGTTGGTCTCAAACTCACAGAGTGCAAGGATTAAAGGCACATGCTATCACTGCCTGGCTATAGTTCTGAATTGTTAGATATTTACCTATCCAATTTAAATTGTTCAGCATGGTATAGTCCCCACAGAGTATGTCAGTCAAAAAGCAAAGGTGAGCCACGAGTTTTGTGAGCACGTCTGTAATCCCAACACTTGAGAAAGGGGCAGACCCATCAGGAGTTGAAGGCTAGCTAGACACTGCTACATGAGATCCAATCCCGAAAAGAGGTAGAGAGGGTTTACTTGAATGTTGTAATTGCTTGGATGAAATTTACATTTTACTTCTAGATGATATGAAGTTTATTGTGTCTATTAAACATTATGTCTTAGGCATAGTACTAGGCTTTTTACCATGTAGTTAAAAATGAGCAACAGGTATGAGACTTTTTGTGTCCTTTGTGGTTGGGCAGGCTTTCTTCTCCATCAGTTACAAACAGATGTATCCCTTTTAAAATGATCTATTTTGATCAAATTAAAAATGCTGCAAGTCTGGCTCTGTGTAGTTATAAATACCCTTTTTCCATGATTAAAGAAGTTAAAAGAAAATCAAGCCAAATATATTTCTTTTTTATGCTTAAAAAAAAAAAACTATTTGAGTTGCAAGCTACACTTTAAGGAATTCATGGTTTTCCCCCTTCAAATAATTATTTTTATTTTCTACTAATTATTTTTATTTTATTTATTTTTTGGAGGGAGAGGTTGAGACAAGTCCTGTCTATATAGCTGTCTGGAACTTACTGTGTAGATCAAGCTGGCCTCAAAGAGAGATCTGCCCACCCTTGCACCCCAAATGCTGGAAGTAAAGGCATCAAACACCAAACCTGCTGTTATTTTTATTATATTTTAACTATATGTATGTATGTGTGTCTGTGTATGGATATATACATGTGAGTGTAGATGCCTGGGGAGGCCTGCAGCATCAAATCCCCTGGAGCTGGAATTATAGGCAGCTGAGAGCCAACCATCTTGGATGCTGAGGAACAAACTCCAGTCCTCTGCAAGAACAGTATGTGCTTTTAACCACTGGGCCATCTCTCCAGCCCAGAGTTTGTATTTTAAGTTTATGAGTAGTAGTAAATATTAAAGCACAATTAGTCACATACATAAAATGAAAAAAAGAGTTTCCTCCCAAAAGTAGAGAACATATTCCTTCTCCAAAAAGGATCTAAAAGGAAAATTGGTCAAAGAAAAATTTCCTTTCTTCCCAGAATCCCCTTTATTTTCATTTCATCTTTATTCTATTCACTAATTCCTGGGTTCGTGAAAACTGAAGGTTTGACCAAATCAAAAGATTTTCCTACTTTATAAATATACATAAACAATGATTGTATTTTTTAAATATAAAAATTTCTTAGCTGGGGGTGTTGGTGGTGGTGGCAGCAGCAGCAGGGGCGCTCACCTTTAATCCCAGCACTCAGGAGACAGAGACAAGAAGTTCAAGGCCAGCCTGGTCTACAGAGTGAGTTCCAGGACAGCCAGGGCTACACAGAGAAACCTGTCTCAAAAGACAAAATAACTAAAACTAATTCCCCCCAAGACCCTCCAAATACCTTTCTGTTACACTTTATAGTTAAATGGGCAGTTAGAAGCTATGCTACACATGCAGCAAAGGTCATGTCCTGTCTGTCTGTCTGACTGCCATTTCTGCCACAGCCACTGATGCACTCTATAGTTTGTACCAGTTGATGATACTATCAAAACATCAAATCCTACCTAATGAGTTTAGATTTAAACCAAGTTTTTATTAACTTTTCAAACATAGATATATCCAGGTGTTTCTGTAGCCCCAGCTTCTTAGAAGGCTGCATCACTTGAGCCCAGGAGTTCAAGGCCAGCCTAGACAACATAGTAAGATCTGTCTCAAAAGTCATATGGGGAGAATAATACTAGAAGACTTTAATTCCTGTTGAGTTTTATTATATGTTTAGGAAACAGTTCATTAATTGAGTTATAATTTAAATATTTATGTCTTTTAGGAGATTAAGTGAAAGAGAGAGAATTGGAGAGTTGGGAGCTCCTGAAGTTTGGGGACTTTCTCCGAAGAATCCTGAACCAGAGTAAGAGGATTAAAAAAAAAAATCATTTTAAAATGTTAATAGCATTTGTTTAAATCTTACATTTTATTTATTTGTACATGTATGTATGTGCACAGGTGAAGGTCAGAGGACAACTTGCAGGAGTCAGTTCTCTCCTTCCATAATGTAGGTCCCAGGGATTGAACTCAGGTCATCAGGTATAGCATTAAACACCTTTACCTACTGATCCATCTCGCCAGCCCTATTGTCAAAATTTTTAAGTGAACAGCTTCAAGTACCTACCAGATATTTTTGCTTCCTTATGATTTATGCTATTTTACACCCATATGAAAAAAAAACATAGACCATGGGTAATTATTACAGATAATGCTAGTAGATTTTAGCACATTCGTTGTGGGGGCTTGTTTGTTTTGTTTTTGAGACATGGTCTCATTCTGTAATCCAAGCTATTTGGAACCCACTGTGTTGTAACAACCAAGGCAGAACTCAAGCTCACAGCAGTCCTCCTGCCTTAGCCCCTTGAATGCTGGAATTACTGGTATAGATCACCATGCCTAGCTTGTTGTCTTTTAAGTTCAAACTCATGAAGCACTAATTTCCTACTCAGAAAATCATACGTTTACATTATTTTTCATTGCTTTTTTCAACTAACCCACTATCAGGTTGTTAGGTATTAGCGTCAATGATTAAAAATAGAGATACTGTACTAAGAAAGAAGGCTCTCCTGTGGGTGGAAATGAGCCAGTGAGCTGGAAAACATAGACACTCAAAAGCTTAAAAAATATTAGTGTGTTTGAGTGACTGTGTGCAGGAGGGCAGAATTTGAAGTCAGATGTTTTCTGTGATCTCTACCTTAGTTTTTAAAATAGTATTGTTTTATTCTTGTTTTAACATTTATAACAGCTTTATTAAGGTAATAATTTATATTCCATAAAGTCCACTTATTTGAAGTGATCATTTGTAGTAATATTAAGCTATACATTGCTTTTCTTCTTCCCCTCTCCCCTTCCACCCCTCCCCCTGACCTCCACGCTCCCTATTCACTCAGGAGATCTTGTCTTTTCTCTCTTACTAGGCGGATCTATGTTTGTCTATCTTAGGGTCCTGTACCTTTTAAAATTTACATTTATTTATTTTCTTTCTCACTCTTTGTCTGTGTGTTTGCACTCACATATTACATCTGGAGGTCAGATGGCAACTTGCAGGGGCTGGAGATCTTCCATAATGTGAATTCCAGGAGATACAATTCAAATTGTTAGGATTTGGATCAAGAGCCCCTACCTGCTAAGGCATATTTCTAGTTCAGCACCTTATTTTTTTGACACAGAATTTCTCCGTAAACCTGGTGCTGATCCAGTGAGCTTGATTGGTTTACCAGCAAGTCTTAGGGATACTCCTGTCTCTGCCTCTCCAAGTGCTGGAATTACAGGTGCGTGCCACCCCACCCATCATTTTTCTGTGGGTGCTGGGGATCAGAACTCAGGTCCTAATGCTTGTGTGACAAACGTTCAATCAACTGAGCTACCTACCTCTCTGGCCTCTAAATTAAACAAAACCATATAACATTGTTCATTGCCAGTGATCCCAGCCCCATGTGTAAGGGATTCGGGCATTACTCTGCCCTGCCCCTGTCACCTGGCAGAATGCACTCGGGCAGTACTCTGGTCAGCCCAGGTTCCATGAGTACTAGTCTGCAGGCAGGTGTAAAGGACCCTTTAGAAGTCAGACCCCGCCCACTTACGACTTCTTTCGGTCTTTTGCTCTTGCTCTTTTCCTCACCTCTCACTCCCCTCTCTTCTCTTCTGTCCCTGCTGTCTCATGTCTCTTTCCCCTCTCCACTCACCCCCACTTCTAAATAAACTCCTCGTTCAAGCTCTATGCCTGGCGTGGTATTCCCTCCACCACGGCCACCCTCACTTGCTATGGAACGTGCTGTGCTCTCCCACGTGGACCCTTGCCTTGGAACCCCCAATCAAGCCCCTTTCTCCAGCTTTTCTCCTATAACTGTAACAAAAGAACCACACCATGTTCCCCTAAACAGTTTCATTTTTATGCATGCATGATTTTATGTGACTATATGAAATCTTGGATAAAACATGACATTTGTATTTCTGAGACTGGCCTGATTTTCTCAGTAGCACTATTTCCTATTGCATCCATTTCCCTGTACATGATGTAACTCCATTCTTTTTGGCTGAAAATGTTTCAACTGTGCACATATACTACATCTTGTCTATTCCTCTGTTGTTGGATCTCTAGTTTGTCCCATAACTGAGCTGCTGTGACTAGTCTGTGGTTTACATTGCTGTGTGAGTGTTTCTGTGACACAGGAGTGGTATAGCTAGAGTGTATGGAGGATCTATTTTTTTTTTTTTGTGGAACCTCCATAGTGATTTCCACAGAAGCTGCATTTATTTATTTATTTATTTATCTATTTGTGATAGAGTGTCTCTGTGTAACCCTGGCTATCCTGGAACTCACTCTGTAGATTAGGCTGGACTTGAACTCACAGAGATCCACCTGCCTCTGCCATCCAAGTGCTAGACTAAAGGTATGTGCCACCACTGCCCAGCTTAGCCCATTTATTTATGTATGTATGTATGTATGTATGTATGTATGTATGTATTTGTTGATTCCTTGTATACTCTTGGTACCGTCCTCAGTCAGATGTATAGGTAGTAATATTTTCCCCTATTCTGTAAGCTAACTCTCCCTTCACTCAGTTGTTTTTCTTTTCTGTACAAGGGGTTTTAATCTCACAAGTTCCCATATGTTGATCTGGGGATTTATTTAGAGAACAACCAGCATCCTATTTAGAAAGCTCTTGCTTATACCTATCTTTTTTTTTAATAAAAAAGTATTTTACAAGTGTTTTGCCTACATTGTATATAAGTGTACTGCATGCACACCCTGGGCCTGCCGAGGTCAGAAGAGAGCATTGTCGGATCCCCTGAAACTGGAGTTACAGATGGTTGTAAACTGCCATTTGGGTACTGGGAACTAAGCCTGGGTCCTCTGCAAAGATCAGCTAGTGTGCTAAACCACTGAGTTACTTCTTTATCCTGTATATTTTTATCTTGAAGGTTTTTCCCTCTTGTAGTTTCAGAGTTTCAAGTCTACATTAAGGTCACCAAGAATTAATATTCTTCCATTTAAAAAATATTTCCTATATCTAATACTCTGAAGGCCTAGTTCTTTTTAGTCCATACTTATTTTCTTTTTAAATGTTAATATTGGGGGGGGGGCATTTGTGTTCCATAGCACACAGGTGGGAGTTGATCGCTCCTTCTACATTATGGATTCAAAGGATCACACTCAGGTCATCAGGCTTGACAGCAAGCACTTTTAACGTGCTGACCCCTCATTTATTTTTTTATTTATAGTATTGGTTTTATGAGAGGTTTCTTTGTGTAACTCTGGCTGTCTCGGAACTCACTGTAAACCAGGCTGTCCTTGAACTCAAATCCAACAGTGGGAATTAAGGACATGAGCTACCATGCCCAGCTCCACTCCTCTATTGGATTATTTGAGACAGCATGCTTAACAAGAAACCTGTAATTTGTGTCAGGGTGATACAGCAATATTATCTGAAACTTGCTCTTATAGATACTTGAACTCATTGAATAAAAATTAAAGGGAACCCTAAAGATACTTTGATAAATAATACCTAAGTTATTTCATGTGTGATCTTCAAAACTTTAAAGGAAAGGATGACGGAATATGAGAATTTTCCTCTGGTACCATGAAAGCATTTTAATTTTGTAGAGCCTGTCCCAAAGAATTAAGAATTTTTTTAGATTTATTTACTATTTTTGACAAAGTCTCAGTATGTGGCCCTGGCTGGCCTGGAACTCTCTATAGACTAGGCTGGATTCAAGCTCACATAGACCTGCCCTGCCTGACTCTGCCTCCCAAGTGCTGGGATTAAAGGTGTGTATCACCTTTTACTTATGCCTGTTGTGTGGGTTTCCATGGGCATGCACAGGTAGTGTCCCAGAGGACAGGGATATCAGATTCCTCTGGAGCTAGAGTTATAGGTGATTATGAGACACCCAGTATGGGGTGCTGGGAATCCAACTCAGGTCCTATGCAAGAGCAGTGCACACTCTAATTTGCTGAGCACATAACAGCTGTTAGAGTGCTTGTCCAGAATGCATAAGACCCTGGGTTTGATCTGTATCACCAAATAAAACAGGCATGGTGGTATGTGATTTATAATCTCAGGATTGAAGAGGTAGAGGCAGGAGGGTCAAAAGTGAAAGAATGTCCTTAGCTACATAGAGAGTTCCTTCCCACCATGGGCTAGGTCTCATAAGAAAATTACCCAGGCTAGTGTGATATTTCAGCAGGTAAAGGTGCTTGCTGCCAGCTCTGACAACTTCATTTTGATCCATGGGACTCATATGGGGTGGAAGGATAACCAATCCTGAATACACACATACACACACAAATGCATGTGTGAAGTAAATAAACTAAATGTAAAAAAAGGTTTTAGATCCCCAAACAAGAAACTTACTTTCAGAATTTATTTTTCAAAATCTGTAGTCTGCTAGGTTCTGGGGAGATAGGAATTGTTCTAAGTTATATCCTTCATATACTTAGAACAAAATCCTGGAGATTTGAGTTGTTCTTGTGTATATCCTTAACCTACTTAGAATAAAATTATGGAGCTAGATTATCTCTCAGTGTTAAAACAGTCACCAAGCATTTTTGAGGCCTAGGTTCAACCCCTACAACCCAAAAATAATAATAAAATAATGAACTCTTCTATCAGTCTTAATGTTTGCCTTTTTAAATCTTTCCTTGTGTTTTCTATTTCTAAACTTTCATCTTGAGTTTCCTCTGAAAATATAAATCTTACATATTGCCTTTTTAATAGTACTGTATAAACTTGAAAGCATTATATAAATACATTATTTTACTATTATGAAGATGGTAGACTTCTGAATATACTCTTACAAAAAATGATTACCTTTGAGGGCTAGAGAGAGGGTTCAGTGGTTAAGAGCACTGGCTATTCTTCTAGGGAACTTGAGTTTCAGCTACAGGATCCACATAATAATTACTCTGTAACTCCAATTCCATAGGATCAGATGCCTCCTCTAGCCTTTGTGAGCATCAGGCACAGTTGTTTGTGTAGGCAAAATGCCCCTACATGTAAGATAAAATAATAATAACAATAATTTTAAATGCTTGTCTTTAAAGATTCCTAGGCAATGAGCGCTGTTACTGAAAAATTTTAATTGCATATTTTAATGCCCTATGTTACATATTTCTTCCAACCATTTTTTTTTTGTAATTCAGCTCTGATGAACATACACCAGTAGAGGATGAAGAGCCAAAGAAAAGTACTACTTCAGCATCTAGTTCAGAAGGTAATTTTGTAAAATAAGGAACTTACTAATTCATAAATTTTAAAAGTACATTTATAAATAATTGAATGTTAGACTACCAAATAGCTATGCCTTTTCAGTATTTCAAATATAGTAAAAATGTCCAGAAATACTTCTGAAGAAGTTAATTTTTCATTTGTACTTACAACAGATGAAAAGAAAAAGAAAAGGAAATCCAGTCATTCAAAAGAAAGATCCAAGAAAAAGAGAAAGAAAAAGTCATCTAAAAGAAAACATAAGAAGTATTCTGAAGATAGTGACAGTGACTCTGATTCTGAAACAGACTCCAGTGGTAAGAAAGATGTATCATTCTGAAAACCTTAGAATTCATTTTAATTGTTAAAAATGTTATGTGTAGCCGGGTGTTGGTGGCGCACACCTTTGATCCCAGCACTCAGGAGGCAGAGGCACGCAGATCTCAGTGAGTTCAAGGCCTGCCTGGACTACAGAGCTAGTTCCAGGACAGGCTCCAAAGCAACACAGAGATAGCCTGTCTCTAAAAACCAAAAATAAATAAATAAATAAATAAATAAATAAATAAATATTATGGGTGTTTTGTCTGCATACCATGTGTAGTCCTTCTGCTTGTGGAGGCTAGGAAGAGGACATCAGATCCTCTAGAACTGGAGTTACAGACCACCATGCAGGTGCTGGTGGTCCTCTGGAAGAGTAGCCAGTGGTCTTAACTGCTAAGCCATCTCTCTAGCCCCTCAGCTTTTTAAGTATTTGTTGAATTATAACCATAATTATGACCATGTTAAGTTTTCTGACTTTATTTCAATTTTTCATATTTACTTAATTTTCTACGGTTAAGTATGTGTCACTTGGTACAGCAGGCCCTTTGCCTTTAGAGCTAGTCACTTCCTACATCCACCTTGGCTTACACAGTGCAGCAATGGACATGCAGTACTTTTGTAATAAACTGATTTCAAAAACACCTAGGCACTGTTTCCAGGTCAACCATTCCTTAATTATTTTCCCAAATCAGTCATGTTTTTAATTACATTTTATTTATTTATTTTGTGCATATGTGTGTATGTATATGGATGTCACACCCCAGTATATTCATGGAAGTCAAGAGAGTAACTTTGAGGAGTTGAAGTTTCTCTCCTACCACGTGGGCCTTGCGGCTTGAACTTGGGTCCTCAATGTCAACTAAGCATGCTTACCAACTGAGTCGTCTTGCCAGTGCATGTCTGGCTGGTTTGAAGACTCCTCTATATCCTAATGCCCCCATGCTTTTCTCTGTCAGCCCTTATGATACTCATTTCATTACCATCTCACCTCCATCCCACTGAGGTTATGGAAAGCATTATCTTCCTCTCCACACACAGGATAGGTTCTTTTTGTTTCTCTCACTATGAAACTTTAACAAGCCTCCGGGAATTAAAAGGAATAATGTAATCATCATCATTATTGTTATTATTAGCTTTTGTTAGCATTTGGACATATTTGTGTAAAATATGGAGGTGGGGAATGTTGTTGATCTATTCAGATTAAGTTCCATGAATATTTCTATCTGTAACTCTGAAATAGGACATCTTCCTACTTAACTAATGCCATTAACTCAATGAGTAAATGAATGATATATAATAAATATAGTGATTCCTATATTATTAGTACTTAGTGTGACATTAACTTATTTACTTATTGTATGTGCTTATGTGTATGTACTCATACATGCCACAGCCAGTGTGTGGAGATAGAGGCTAACTTATAGGAATCAGTTCTGTCCTCCCACCATGTAGTTCTGGGGCTCAAATTCAAGTCATCAGTAAGCATCTTACCCACTGAGCCAACTTGCTAAGTCTATGATTTTAATTTTTTGACTCCTGCCCCTAGTATAGTTCCTGACAAATTTCAATAAATGTTAGAATGAATAAATTTCTCTGTAACAACAAATGAATATTTGCAACAATAGAATATTTTGAACATCAGTTTTTTTCAATAATATATGCTTTAATTTTCAGATGAAGATACAAAAAGAAGAGCAAAGAAAGCTAAGAAAAAAGAAAAGAAGAAGAAACGGAGAATGTCAGTTTTTCTTAACTTTTTGTAGTGAAAACGTTTAATATATATATATATATATGTGTGTATATATATATGTATGTTATATAAAATACCATAATGGTCCCATATATATTTATTTTTAAAAAGGAAGATGGTAACTTTTATTGTGCTTACAAAATAACAGTTGCTGGACAGTGGTGGTGCACGCCTTTAATCCCAACACCCCAACACTTAGAAGGCAGAGACAGGCTGATCTCTGTGAGTTCTGGGCCAGCCTGTTCTGCCTATATATATCCCTGCAGGCCAGAAGAGGCCACCAGATATTATTCATATGGTTGTGAGCCACCATGTGGTTGCTGGGGATTGAACCTGGCTTCCTCTGGAAGAGCAGTCAGTGCTCTTAACCTCAGAGCACATCACTGTTTTATGTTTTTATAAAAAATATTTATTTTCATTTAAGTATATGTATGCATCTGTGTATGTGCCATGTATATATAGGTAGAGAGGCCAGAAAAGGGTATCAGATCCCCTGGAGCTGGGCTTACAGGTGGTTATGAACTACCGGATGTGGGTGCTGGGATACGAACTCTAGTTCTCTGGAAGAGCAGCAAGCACGTGCAACTGCTGAACAATCTCTTTAACCCTTGTGTGTTTGTTTTTTGAGTCAGGGTCTAATATACCCCAGACTGGCCTTAGACTCAGTAGGTAGCATAGGATTGGTTTGAACTCCTGAATCTCCAGCCTCTAGCTCCAAAGTGCCAGGATTACATGTAGCTAGTCTTTCTCTGTCCCACTAGCCAGCTCCCAAATCATGACACAGAATTTTTTTTTATTAATTATGAAAGCGTGGCTGACAGCTTAGGCTTGTTTCTAACTAGCTCTTAAAACTTAAATCAATCCATTTCTATTCATCTGCATGGTGCCACATGGGTGATAGCTTTTACCTCTTTTCTTGCATGTTTCACTTTCTCTGTATCTGGCTGGTGATTCTGCCTTCTTCCCAGCCATTTAGTTTTTTTATTAAACCAACCCAGGTGAAACTTCTTTACAGTGTACAAAAAGATTATTCCACAACAATTATAGACATAAGCTATTACCTCCTCCTTGAGAGCTTGGCTTTAAGATATTTTATTTGTATTATCTTTCTACATGATAACTGTATTTATTAATTGTTTAGTCATTTCTTGTTAATGGTAAAATAGTACTTGGTTAACTGAGAAGATTGAATTGAAAAGTTTGAGTAAACTGGGAATTCAGATAATTTTAATCAACATCTTCATTCCCTTGGAAACTGAGCATGCCTGGGGCTGGAGATACAGCTCAGCAGTAGCACTGGCTGTTCTTACAGAGGACCCACATGGCATCTCACAACTATCTGTAATTCGAGTTCCAGGGGATCTGCTACCCTCACACAGACATACATGCAGACAAAACACCAATGAACATAAAATAAATCTTTAAAATTGTCTTAAAAAAAAAAAAGAAAACTGAGAATGCTTTTAACATAGAATACTTAATTTGTATTAAATAATAATCCATGCAGGAAGAAATACAAGAAAAAGAAGTCCAAGAAGAACAGAAAAGAGTCCAGTGATTCGAGCTCTAAAGAGTCCCAAGAAGAATTTCTAGAGAATCCTTGGAAGGATCGATCAAGTAGGTTCTTGCAGTTGACTAACTCAAACATAAAACATCAACTGATTAGTCAAGATGTGATTGTATTTCTAAATATCTTTCATGCAGAGGCAGAAGAACCATCAGATCTCATTGGCCCAGAGGCTCCCAAAACAATTGCTTCCCAAGATGATAAGCCTTTGAAGTAAGTAGCACTGTACAGACATGGGTTTTGGGTGGTTTTCTTTGTTGTAGGTTGTTTGTTTTCTGTAGAGCCAAGTATGCTCATGGTAGGTTAGCAGGCTGCCACTGAGCTGTGCCTTCAGCCAGTAGCAGTGAATTTGCAGTATCTAAAATAATTTCTTAGCTTGGTATGGTCAGTATGCCTATGATCCCAGCATTTGTGAGGACAAGGCAGGGAGATCAGGAATTTGGGGACATTCTGGGCTTACATTGTGATCTCAAGGCCAGTCTGGGCTACAGGAGACCCCGTTTCTACAAAATAAAAACAAGATTTTTAACTGTCCTTTAAAGCCCTTTTCCAAAAGAAGGAGCACATGGTAAATCCCAGTGCTTCTCTTCGATCTTCTCAGCACTTTGTTTCTTCTGTGCAGTGCTATTTTAAAGTTTTCATTAGTTTATCCATTTTATGTGGGGGAAGAAAAGTGGGAAGGAAGGCATAAAGTTTAGAGGACAACTTTTAGAAGTCCATTATCTGCTTCCACCATATTTAATCTACCAGGGATTAAACTCACCTCAACAAACTTGATAGTAAATGTGTTTACCCTCTGAGCCTCCTTGGAAGCCCATGAAATATATTATTTATGTTTACCTTATAATGTAATGTACTTATCTTTGTAAGTATATAAATTTTGTAAGTGCAGAGGATACTTTTGTGTTATTAGCTTCAAGTTTAATAGGAATACAAGAAACTATCACAAAACTGCTTTTAAAATCTCTTTTAATCAAAGGCAAAAGGTAATTTCTATTGTATGGCATTATTGTTTGTTACAAGTTTATTTTGAAATCTATTATTTGGGTGCTTTAGAGAGAATGAGCTAAGGACAGAAAGAGTACTGGTAATACCTGATGAATTAGTCCACAATTATAAAGTTACATGTTACTTATACATTTCTAGGTTAGTAATACATGCCATAGCACTGTTATTCTTACTACTGTCTGAGGGAATGTGATTTGTGCTCTCCTTTCTATGCAGATACTTTAATGAGCCATTTTTGAATTCTGAATTCCTTTGTAGCTATGGCCACGCTCTGTTACCTGGTGAAGGTGCAGCTATGGCTGAGTATGTAAAAGCTGGAAAGCGAATCCCACGAAGAGGTGAAATTGGCTTGACAAGTGAAGAGATTGCATCATTTGAATGTTCAGGCTACGTAATGAGTGGTAGCAGGTATTTTCTTGTCATTGAGTCATTTTCCATGGTTAGCTCTTTTCCTTTTTTCTTACTACAAGAATTATATTTTGGTGATCTGTTTTCATTAAGTGACTATTTCCTTAAAGGAAAATATAGTGTACACATACACGCATGCAGACACACACACACATACACACACGATACTGGTTTCATTAGAAGAAATATACTTAAGTAAGGTTTAACTATGTATAAAACTTAGCCTCAAGCTCTATAATATCTCCAAATTTAAAGAATCAGTAGTTTCCAGTTTTAGTTCTTATTCACACTCCAGAGTGGCACACACTCTGGAGGCAGAGGCAGGCAGATCTCTGTGAGTTCAAGGCCAACCTGGTCTACAGAGCAAGTTCAAGAACAGGCTCTAAAACAATACAGAAAACCCTGCCTCTAAAAAACCAAAATAAATAAATAAATAAGTAGTTAAGTTCAGCCATCTGTCATAGAGGAGTGTGGGATCCCAGTAGTTAGGAAAGCATTGTTACAAAATAATCTTTGTTGGTTTTTTAGTTTACCTCCAGTTTTCAGAGGACCAGAATTTTTAGAAACGAATATCAGTTAAGGATCATGAAAGATGTCAGAATTAGCATGAGGAAATAAAACCATGGGAAATTAGAAAATTCTTGACTCATCAGAGAAGTAAGGGCAGCAGTACTGAACCCACACTGAACCGTGGATGCTTTAAGATTACAAACTACCTATTAAAATAGTTAACCATTTTGAATTGATACCAAAGACAAATATTTGCTGAACCTCTAAGTACCCCAAGAACCTTAGATTTCTGAAAGTTAACATCACTGTGTGATTTGTCACAAGGACCAATCACTAGAGATATAAGGAACAGGAAGGAGGGTTCAACATAGCTACTTTTGTGATTGAGATGATTGTTTACCTAAAAGATCCTAAAGACTCTTCAGGGGGCTAACAAATGATTACATATAAAGTTATTACCGAACCAATTGTGTTTCTATATCTCAACAATGGGCAACTAGAAAATATAGTTTAACATATCATTAATATATGTTAATATAATTAATAGTGTATAATTGTGTATATTATATATAAGGAAGTAAACATTGTTTAGTATATCATATAGTATCAGAATATGACTGATTTAAAATAAATCTTAGTAAAAGAATCCCTACACCCCCATAGGGGAAACTATAAAACATTAAGAAACATTAAAAGGATGGAGACATTGCTCAGTGGTTAATAGCACTGGATGTGCTTTTGAAGGACCAAATTCAGTTCCCAGCACCCACATGACAGCTCACAACCAGCTGTAACTCCAGTCCCAGGGGATCTGAGTCTTCTTCTGGCTTCTGCAGGTACTGCACATATGTGATGTACAGATATATATTCAGGCAAAACACTCATACACTTAGAATTTAAAAATTTAGCCAGGCATTGGTGGCACATACCTTTAGTCCCAGCACTTGGGAGGCAGAGGCAGGCAAATCTCTGTGAGTTCCAGGCCAGCATGTTCTACAGAGCTAGTTACAGGGACAGGCTCCAAAACAATACAGAGAAAGCCTGTCTCGAATCCCCTCCCCTCCAAAAAAAGAATTAAAATATTTAATTAGGCATGGTAGTACACATCTTTGATTCTAGCGCTGTGCAGGGAAAGGCAGGAAGATCTCTGAGTTTGAGGTTTGAGGTCAGCCTGTTCTACAGTGTTTTAGGACAGCCAGGCCTACACATAGTAACCTTGTTTCAAATAATAATAATAAAAAGAAACATTATAGAAGACTCAGGCCAGGTGTTGGTGGCTCAGGCCTTTAATCCCAGCAGTCAGGAGGCACAGGCAGGCAGATATCTTTGAGTTCGAGGCCAGGCTGGTCTACAGAGCGAGTTCTAGGCAGGCCACAAAGCTACACAGAGAAACCCTATCTTGACACCCCCTCCAAAAGAGACTTATATTTCAGAGTAGTGGTGGTACACACCTTTAATCCCAACACTTGGGAGGCAGAGACAGGCGGATCTCTGAGTTTGAGGAGAGCCTGGTCTGCACAGCAATTTCCTGAACAACCAGAGCTAGCTGTTACACAAAGAAACTTTGTCTAGAAAATCAAAAACCGAAAAATTTCACCCATACATTAAAAAATGTAAAATACTGAATCCATTAAAAAAACATAAAACACTGAGTCACTGTATGTAAAAAAGTAGTACCACTAGAGTACATACTTTGAGAGAGGATGTCTTTTAGATAAGACAGTATTTACTAAAACAAAACAAAACAAAGAATGTTCTATCCAGAAGTTTGCCTAGGCTAAAAATAACTGGTGTCATCAAAAATATGAAAATGTGAAAATTCCAGTCTCAGATAAGATTCTTGGAATACACACAATTGACTCAGTGTTGGTAATCAGAATATTTAAATGAACACCAATAGAATAAATATGGGGAAATGACAGAAAGGGCCATTTATCAAAAGAATGCATATGTTCAATACATAAACTAAATGGTGTTTTTGTTATTAGAAATGGAAATCAAGACCCTAAAGTTCCGACAATTCCAAATATTTGGAAGGGTGTGGTGTCACAGGACCTCTTAAACAATGCTAATAGTGGCCGGGCAGTGTTGGCACATATGTTTAATCCCAGCACTTGGGAGGCAGGCCTTGAACTCAGAGAGATCTGCCTGCCTTTGCTTCCTGAATGCTGGGATTAAAGGCATGTGCCACTACCACCACCCTACTTAAACAATAAGTTTTCCATTTCAGTTTATTAGAAAAAAGAAAAAAGAATTATGTCTATAGTATTTGAAATTAATGATAATATCCACTATGTTGACAAACATTGGAAACATCCATAGAAAAAAATGTATAGTCATTTGATAACTCATCTCCAGGTTCTGTTGTCAACATTTAAATAGAAGAGTCTATGTTAAGAAAGAATTAATGAGGATATACTGTAAGAATTATTAGTAAAAAATTAAGTCAAATAAACTCGTCTTCAGGCATCGCCGAATGGAGGCTGTGCGTCTGCGGAAAGAGAACCAGATCTACAGTGCGGATGAGAAGAGAGCCCTTGCATCCTTTAACCAAGAAGAACGACGGAAGAGGGAGAACAAGATTCTGGCCAGCTTTCGGGAGATGGTGTACAGAAAGACCAAAGGGAAGGATGACAAGTGAGGACTTTCTGACGTTACAAGTGGATATTTCTAACATCAAAAAGGAAGTTGTGGGTTCCAGACATAAAAAGGCTATTGTTTTGTTTGTGTTTGGGGTTATTTTTTGATGTGTGGTTTCAAGTAGTTCAGGATGGCCTCAGGCTTTGTTCTCAAGGATGACTCTGAACTCTTGGTCTCCTACTTCCACCTTCCAAGTGTTGAGATTCCAGACATGTGCCACCAGCCCAGCCAAAAAAGCTGTTCTCTGAAATGGCTTTTCGGTGCTTGTGTGCCTTCTGAATCCTTCAGTTCTTCAATAAAAGATGCTTGTTGGTATAATTAGTAAGTCTTTTTTAAGATTGACCCCAACTTTCTGGTTTGAAAGTCCAGATTCTGAGTGAAACCCTGCAATGTTAAGAAGGTGGTATAGACACAAAGTGGTAGCAGAGTAAGAAATTTAAATCTCACGTTGTGATTGGGTGTGAATATTTTTAGCTCCATACAGTGTCTGCCCCTACCCCAGTAGGACTTGGGAATTTCCTATCTCTGTCTTGAATGTATTACAAATGGGCTAGACAGAAACTATGTAGGAGGCTATTTCTGTTAACAAAACAATGGTATTGCTGTAAAAAAACTATTGTGGGATTTGAAAACTGACTTGTTTCTATAGTCTGCCCTAGAAATGTAGTTTGGGCTAAGTCTACCTCTGCTCTAAAAACAGCAAACCAAAAGGTTAACTCACAGATGTGTGGAATAAAAATGTGAGCATTAGATTTTTTAAGTTCTTAGTAAGTTACTTAAAATAGTTCTTTCGGTGACTGGGGTATAGCTCAGAGTTAGAACATGTGTTTATTATGCATGTAGCCCTGAGTTACATCCCCAGCAGTGCAAAAAATTCAAATACAGCCTTGGGAGGTGTATTGTTATGCCAATGTAAGAATATTATTTCTATCTAAGCTGATATTTAATGATAGGATAAAATTTAAAAGAATGAGTGTTAAGAGTGCTAATGAGGGGAAATGTAATAAGTCAGCATTTTAATTAGCTGTTTCATGATAATGAAAGTAAAATAGTATACGTTTTCAATTGTGTCCTTTATGTACTGAGATTCTTTTTTGAGACAGAGTCTCACTATGTAGCCTCATAGAGTTCTGCCTGCCTCTGCCTTCCAGGTGCTAGGATTAGAGGTGTGTGCCACTGCACTTGGCTATCAGATTTGATTTTAAATATTGTTAACCTCTTCAGCTTTTTTACATCTATCAATGTCTTTAACTCTTAATTTTGTAGAAACTCTCCTCCCTTATCATTCTTTGAAAAGTTTAATATATGATCTGGGAAATGTTTTTTTAACCCACAATTGCTGAACTGAGCAGCAGTTAGCATGTAGTAACATCTGTGATCTTTAAACTTGAAATTATTTCACTGTATCTATACTTCTCAGTCTAGTAAGTCTATAGTTTCCTAAAGTTTAAGGGAAACCAGGTTCCAAAGTTATTAGTCTTATTAATCCATATACTTCCTCATGTAATACAATGTAATGTTTATAATCCCTACTTTTAAATTTATTCTATAGGGTCATTTTTTTTTTTTTGTTAACTGGCCCCTAGCAACTTGACAAATATGTTTTTATTTCTCATAGACAATGTACTTTAAATGCACCAATTTTATGGTGTATAAGTATTATGGATTTCATTTTGATTCTTCTCCACAAGAGTAGATATAGTCAATGAAAAAAAGACAGAAATTTATTTCTAAACCTACCATTTCTTGGAGCAGAGTTCATTTGGATAAGATCTGCAAAGAATAGCTTCAATAGCAGATCCTTTAAAAAGTGGAAGGCTAAAAGTATTTTATTTCCAGTTAATTTGAGTTATTCAAACTGGGTTTTGTCACCTGAACTCTAAGTCAGCCATTGTTTCCAAAAGCAAATCTTCCTGGTTTACAGAGGACGCAAGGCACGTGCTCACATGCACACGAACACACATACACTCCCTCAAGCACTTGAGCATTTATAATTGAACAAAATATTGAGCTAGGAATTCCCTCCTGTTACATGCCCAGTGAAAAAGATAGTGGCTAGAATTCTGTTTGTATTCTTCATAGTTCTTTAGTCCCATGTAAAAATCTGTGTCAAACTATTATAATTTAAATACTTTGTTTTGTTCTCCAAAGAGACCTAGTTTCTCGTCTCTTCACCTGTTGTTCATAGGGTTTCCTCTCTTTTTTTATTTGTTGTACAAAGTTAATGGTGAAAAAATAGGAAAATTGCTCAGTCCCACCACATGAATGGTTTGTTATAAGTATTCTGTGTCCCTCATATGTCTTTGTCACTCAAAGTGTAGTGTAATTTTGTCTTTGGTATTTTAAAATTGTGTGACCAGGCTTAGGAGTCTCATTGGGAAAGTAAGAATACATGATGATCCAGGATGAAGGTAGAAACAAGACCAGAAATAAATAAGGGTGGCAACCCATCCCTGGTTCATTGTAATAAGCATGACGGTGTGTCTAGAAGCTAAAGCATTCAGTTCAGAGTTTGGCAGTGAAGCTTACCTTACAGTAGAAGAGGTCTATTAGTAGGAGAACCCTTCAGCCTGGTATGAGCTACAGAACTGTTGCCATTTTATTACCTAGCATACCCTTCAAAATGTGTATCAAGTTTGGAGGGAGGCACAGAGAAGGACCAAACAGCTAAGGGTGAGTGGGTGAACTTTAGCAATGCTCAGAATTCAACTCTCTGCTTGCCAGACTCCAAAATCATAAATTATTGTTAAGAAAAGTCTTTTCCAAAACAGAAAACAAATGATAACAGAATGCATAATGAATAAAAGCAAAAACACAGTTGGGTTGTGTACCACAAGTTTATTGTTCAATAAATATTATGTGGTTTGATGTGCTGCTTGATGTGTTGATTGTTAGGAGTCCTCAAACATAACATAAGAATCAGACAACTTTAAAAGGGATTGACTCCAACAAAATATGTTTGGTCTCAGTAATATCCCTCAGCCATTGTTCTCGAAATCGAATCTTCCCTGGTCTATAGAGGAAAGAAAACACACACACATGTACACACAAAGCTTTTATAACCAAACAAAATGTTGAGGCAGAAATTCCCTCCTTACATTCCCAGTGAGCAAGATTCTGGCTGGGTTCTAGCTACATTCCCTACTGTTCTTTAAGCCTATGAAAAAAGTCTTTTGGAGAGCTAGCTGCTATGTAGTAACAATGGATTGCTACATGTAAGCTATGTGAGTTTCATGTGGCTCTTTATTGGGAGGGGGAGTACTGAAACATGGCCTCACTCTATAGTCCAGACAAGCCTGAAACTTACAAAAATTCTCTTGCCTCAGCCTCTCAAGTCCTGGGATTATAGACAGACATTACAATACGTAAAGGGGGGGGGGGGTTATTTTTCATAATAAATTCAGTGAAATTTTGAAGTTTACCTGAAGAGGGCTAGGGCTGTAGCTCAATGATAGAGTACACCTGCCCTAGTGTGTGCAAGGCCCTAGGCTTGATACCCAGCAAAACACTCTCTGCCTCTCTCTCATTCTCTCAAGCTTTGAAGTTTCCATAGAAATAATAGATATGATTCACTTTGTCCTACCCTGTTCTATCACTAATTCTTAAGTTTCTAATTACTGAAAAAACACTAAGAAAAACAATTTTCTAGACCAATGCCAGAATCCTACTTTTAGCCCATATTGTAGCGTTAAGTGATCAAAGATGAAGTGAGTCCTGCATGAATTTCTGCTGGATTTCTAGAATGTGACAACCTTTACCTCACCCATTTCGAACAAGTCTCCAGATTTTAATTACCTTTGAAGTAGTGCTGAATTCTCAAAGATATAAGAAACATCAACAGGCATATCCTAAGAGAGAGGAACAACTGTAAGCCTGGACCAAGCATGCCAATGCTTAATTCTCCCATGCTGCCCTTATTCATAAGTATATATTTGCATTCTCAGGACCCATCTTCTATATTAATAGGGAATTCATTAATGGGTACTTCTTTGTCATTTCAAACCTGTTCTGCAAATGATATTTTTTTGGTAACTGATACCTTAAGCTACACCACAAGATTAGAGACAATTACCAGAGGCTTGTGTTCCTCAATAAGCCTTTTTTGATTGGGGGGGGGGTGTGGGCAGGGAAGAAATTGTGGTTGTTAGTATGTTTTTTAATATCAAGGTTACTTTTGTTGTCTTTTTTTTTTATGCTCCAGTTTATTCAGCTGTGGCTCTCTACCTCTTAGGATGAAACCAGAGGGGAATAGCCTAGATGAACAAGGTTGGAAATTTTTTATTTTGAAGCAGGGTTTTTCCTAAGTTACCTATACTGGTGGCATATACCCACTGAGAAAGGAGGACCAATACTTACAATAGTAAGACCCTGACTAAAAGAGAAAATAAACCAGGCATGATGGCACCTGTCTGTAATCCCAGCGCTCAGGGGGTAGAGGCAGAAGGACTGTCCCAAGTTTGAGGCCAGCCTGGTCTATCAAGTGAGTTCAGCATCAACCAGGGGTACAGAGCAAGTCCCTATACTGAAAAGTGGGGAGGGCTTACGGATGTAGGTCAGTTGGTAGAGTACTTCTCTAGCATGTATGAAGCCACATAAATTGAGCATGGTGACACATGCATGTCATCCCAGCATTTGGGAGGTAAAGGCAGGAGGACCAGAAGTTCAAGACATCCTCAATTGCATATCAGGTTGGAAGCCAACCAGGACTCTATGAAACCCTGACCCACAAAAAAGAAAGAAAAAGACAGGAAGGAAGAAAAGAAGGGGAAGGGAAATAGGCAGTGTATTTTTCTGGAAGAGAATGTTCTAGTTAGAAGGAATGGTGGGTGTCTCTACCTGCTTTATTGGAGGAATAGCAAGATCAGAGTGCCAGAAGCTGAATAAAGAGGGAAAGAGGCAATAAGGAAACAGAATTAGCATATATATGTATTATATATTAGATATAGTCATACTCATAGGCCATTGTGATTCAGGTATGTACTATGAGAATTACCTATGTATTATCTCAGCCGGGTGGTGGTAGCTCATGCCTTTAATCCCAGCAGTCAGGAGGCAGCCAGAGGCCTGTGGATGTCTGGAGGCCAGCCTGGCTACAAAGTGAGTAGGACAGCTAGAGCCACACTGTCTCCAGAATGAAAAACCAAAAAAAGAATCATCACTAGCCCTCTCCAGACCTGCTCAACCAGAATCTTCAGTTAACAAGATCCTCAGGTAATTCTCATGTACATTAAAGTTTCAGACTCCAGCGACATTTTAAATGAGACACACACACACACACACACACACACACACACACACACAAAGAGAGAGAAAGAGAGAGAGAGAGAGAGGAGAGAGAGAGAGAGAACTGGAAGCTGGAGAGATACCACTCTGACCCTCCAGAGGACCAGAGTTGCTAGCACTCATGGTAGGCAGCTTACAACTGCCTGAAACTCTTAGATCTCTCTGTATATTAGATGCATTCATATGCACATATACACACAGATATGCATATACAAAAAATAAATCTTTGAACACAGGAGTGTTCAAAAGAGGAGGCAAATTCATGTTAAAGGGTTCAGCCTTACTGGCTACTACATGTGGGAAAGATGAGAAGGAGAGAGACCAGTTAAGCTATTGAAATAACCCTGAAGAGAAGGAGGGAGGGAGGGGGGAGATATAGGATCTTATACACATTTTCTCAATGGTTTATGGGAAGGATGCAAGAGAAAGAAATGAGTCTAGGAAGATGGCAAATAATCAACTATCAACTCATATGCAAAGACTTGAAGTGGGTCAGATGCTGATGTAGGGGGAAAATGAAACATTGAATTGTAGGGCTGGGGAGACAGCTCAGTGGTAAAACACTTGCTTAGCATTTGAAGGTCATAGGTTCAACCTCCAGAACCACAGAAACAAAATCCGGTTTTAAAATGGTAAATGAAGACGGCAATGGTGGCTCATGCCTTAATCCTAGCACTCGGAAGGCAGAGGCAGGCAGGTCTCTGTGAGTTTGAGGCCAGCCTGGTCGACAGAGCTAGTTCCAGGACAGGCACCAAACAGTACAGAGAAACCCTGTCTCAAAAAAAAAGTGGTAAGTGAAATGTTCATTAAATCTCAAAGTATGCTAGAGATTTGGAAATAATAAGGTATGAACACTTTTTCAAAAAGCCTTTTTTTGTGGGTATAAACACTTCTAAAGATTTTCCCTTTTTATTTTATTATTTTATGTGTATGACTGTTTTGCATGCATGCATGTTTGTGTCCCACACATGTGCCTGAAACCAAAGAAGTTGTCAGAACTCCTTGGACTAGAGTTACTGATGGTTGTGAGCTACCATGTGGATGCTAGGAATCTTAACGCAGATCCTATGCAAAAGCAGCCAGTGCTCTTAACCACTGAGTCAGCCTGTATTTTATTTTTAAATTATGTGTGTGTGGGGTGGCAGGTATATGCTTATGAATAGCATGCTATGGAAGCCAGAAGCTAGAGGCCTTGGGTCCTGTGAAACTGGAGTTGTTATGCGCCCTGTGACTTGGGTCCTAGAATCCAAACTCAGCCAGAGCAGCAAGCGCTCTTAACTGCTGAACTACCTCTCCAGCCCTGTGATAAACTCTTGGCTTCAAGCGATTCTCAACCTCCCGAGTACTGAGAGTAAAGTGTGCACCACTTGTGCCCAGCTTGAGGTTTTGTTTTTGAAATGTACATCTTGCTGGTGCTCAGGCTGGCACATGAATTCAAATGACCCTCAAACTTCAGCCTCCTGAATAAGTGGGGCTATAGGCATGCATCTATGTACACAGCTCTGGATGCCAATTAAAGCCTTATGACCGTATACAATAAAGTAAGTACAGAGAATGGGGCTCCATGTTGGGCCATTCCAACGTGAAGGTTTTTAGTGTGAGGCAGACACACTAGTACGTGCTGTGAAGGAATGGTGAGTGACGCATAAGGCGCACCAGGAGAGCATGTTCTAGAAACCAGATGCAAAGTGTTGTGGAAGACAGAGCAATGACCATGGTAAGAGCTGCAGACGGGCCAAGTAAGATGAGGGCAGAGACATGATTATTAAGTTTTGTGTGCTGGAGATACAGCTCAATGGCAGAGCAACTGCCTAGCATATGCAAGGCCCTGGGTTCGAGCCTCAGCACCACATAGATAAATAAGCAAATAAATGAATGACTTGAATTTGTTAGAGCCAGCATGGTGGTGCACACCTGTAATTTCAGCATGGGGAGACTGAGGCAGGATTTCAGGACCATCCTTGGCTATCAAAGGAGTTAAAGATCAGTACCTGTCCCCACAGAAACCCAATGTTTTATAATGATAGGTGTGGGATGGGGAGTCGATGATGCCCATGACTAAAGATGTCATCATTGCTGAATCCTCACTGAAGAGACCAGAATGTGAAAAGAAGAGCTTACCTGAGGTTTGCTCTTGTTGAACTTGATGGTGAAGTAGGCGTTAGCACTGACTCTTGCCATGGGTCTTACGGCAGTAGGGGCACTCCAGCGCACACGGTAGATATAATGGAAGGAGTGAATTAAGTCTTTCCTCTCTATAAAATCCGCATAGTACACCCAGCGGTTTTGAAACTCCCACGTCTGTTTCACAGAAAAAAGAGAAAACACACAGAGAAAGAAAAGCAGGACTAGCTCAACAAAGGCAGTATATAACAGTCAGGGTTACAGACCCTGCAATATTGACTTTTTAATTTTGATTCAAACTAGGACCAACATTCAGTTATTCCCAAAGTAGAGGAGAGACTAATTCAGGAATGCAAAGTGTTTGAGATGAGCTTTGGACTACGAGGGTTATGGTGTGTATGTATATACCACGCTTCACATCCTCACTTGGGAGGCAAGTGTTGAGCTAAATTGGAGAATAATTGGTGATTGGAATAGTAGTTCGGCTTACCCTACCCTAGGAGACCTACAGGGATGACTAGAAAGTAGTGAACCCAGTTTCAACTGTCTGTAACATTGGACTTATTTTGTTTGTTGTGCTTTATAACAGAAGCCCCCCTCCCAAAAAAAAATGAAAGAAAAGAAGGGCCAAGTTCTAGGGGAGATTCCTCTGTAAAGGCACTTGCTATACAAGCCTGAGGACTTGAGTTCAATCCCCAGGAGCCACTTAAAGGTAGGGGACCCAAACAAACTGCACAGACTTGTTCTCTGACCTCTCTACATGTGGAATGTCCATGATCCCTACCTCCCAGTCACAATAATAAAGAATAAAAGCAAAATTAGGCCATAAGAGGAATAAGCACATACCCTCAAAAGGGAGGCTGGGGGTGGGGAGGCACAGCACAGTAGTATGGTGTTTGCCTCATGTGTGTAAAGCCTTGGGTTTGAGTCCTAGCTTTTTTTTTCTTTTGACTCTTTGAGACAGGGTCTCACTATATAGTCCAGCCTGACCTCAAACTCAAAAGTTCCACCCCTCCTCCTGAGTGCGGGGATAGCTGGTGTGTCACCACACCTGCTCAAAAAGCCAGATACTAAACTGAAGATCTTGCTGCAAAGTGGAGCCTCATGCCTGGATTGATACCCAAGGGATTCTGGGTGGCACACTCAGTGTTGTCTGCTTCCTAGCAGATGCCTTGGTGCTGAGTTTCTTCCTCTCTGCTCGATTGTACTGTATTTGTATCTTTTATGTGAATTAAGGTAACCTTAAGACACTAAATTCTGCTATTTCTACAAATCAGCTTCTTCCCTTTTTATGAATGTATGGGCAACAGATTTTTATGTCACTTCAGAGTGTGCATATTATCCTTGTGTGTTGCAAGTTTTAGATAGCACACCTTCACATACTCATTGGCATGGTACTAGTCTGTCATGGATGGCTTAGCCCATTCTATATTATTGGATGCACAAAATCGGCAGACTCCCGAAAGTACATGCACAAAACTGAGCCATGGTTGACTTATGGAAGAACAGAACTGTATTGGGACTAACCAGAGTGGTGGCACAGCCTGTAATCTTAGCGATGGAAGACTGAGTCAGGAAATAGAAATTCAAGTCATCCTCAACTACATAGCAAGTTCAAGGCCAGGCTGTCTCAAAACAAAAACAAAAACAAAAACAAAAAAAAAAAAAAAAAGAAAAAGAAAACAAAAAAAAAAAAAAAAAAAAAAAAAAAAAAACAAGAGAAAATAGGTGGGAGAGGAGGAGAAGGGAGAGAAGGAGAGGCAAGGAAAGAGAGAAGAAGAGGGAATAAATCCATTCGTGTGTTCAATAGAGACTTATTGAGGATGTACTTTGCACCCAACATTGCTAGAAGCCTGGGGTGAAACTGACCCAAATATTCTGCTCTCAGGGACCGATGATGGAAGAATCATAGCGGGATAAAGACGTTGTCTCTAGACTTTTAGGTAGCACTCCTTAGTGAGACTTCCAAGAGAGGAACGAATGAAAGGGAGAGGGTTGCAAGTCTAGATGAAGTGGTGAGGGAAAGCCTCAAAGAGCAGGTGGCATTTCATAAGGGTCTGAAGAGAGATAGAGCAGTGAGGTGTTCACATAGATCTCGGGGAAGAGGGAGGGGCAAATACCAAGGTCCTGATGGGGCATGACTGGCAGCTGAGGGACAGCAAAGAGGCAGCCCGTGGCTGGGTGAGAAAGGAGTGAGGGTAGATGTTTTATGATGTCTGAGCTATAAAGACCTTGGGTCTTACAGGCCTTTGTTGGGGCTTACTTTGCAATTTGCTTAGAACAGCTATTCCCTATAGCGAAAGATAATGTGTTAGTTGCTTGGGCCCGTTCTAGTTTGAGTCAAGAGTTCTGAATACAGTGAACAGGGGTCTTTGCTTGGCATGAAATAGAGACTCACACCAGAGCAGGGATGTCCAGTAGTCACTTGCATAGAGTGCTCTAAATTCCCTTCCTATTGGAAACTCTGCATGGTGCCTAGTGTTGTACAGATGGCAGTTGAGAAGTTAGCCTTTCTTTCACCTGGATATGGTGGCAAGTGCCTAGGAAACTACCTTTGGGACTATAGGCTTGGACTGGGCTAGGTGAGTTCTCCTCCAATTTCATCAAATCTCCCTTCAGAAAAAGTACAGTGAGAAGGGATTTCAAGCCAGCTTCTTTATCTAGCTCACCCATAATGCAAAGCAACTGTGGTTCTACTGCCCAGAAGCCACCTAAAAGGGTCTGAGCCAGACACAGGAGGAGGTTGATGGGCGTGCACATCATTAGCATCACCATCTGGGAAATATATCCCAAAGTTACAGGAAGAGGATTATTGATTCTGGGGGTGGAGATAGTACATCAGTAATACCACTCATAGGGCAGGCAATGCTGTCAGTCCAATCTCCAGAACTATATATGATCATAAAGACATTTGACCCATCCACATGCCTTCTGTTAACACGAACATACTAATGTCGTTGGAGGAAGCCATTTTAGAGATGCTTCTCCCTTCTTAGGCCAGCTTGCCCCCATTGAATATGTCAGCATGGAAATAACATATCCTTGGGAAATATACAATTAAAATGATACATATGCACAGCAATATGGCTGCACTTTTCTCTTTCGAAGATTGTCCCACCTTGAGGCTGGAGAGATAGTTCAGTGGTTAAGAATGCTCACTGCTTGGGGAGGTGGTGCCCCTTTTAATCCCAGCATTCAAGAGACAGTGCCAAATGGATCTCTGTATGTTTGAGGCCAGCATAATCTACATAGCAAATTCCAAAGCAGCTTGGGCTACATATTGAGAGCCTGTCTCAAAAAAATAAAATAGGGCTTGAGAGATGGCTTACTAAGAACGGGCTACTTTTTCAGAGAACCTGGTTGAATTCTCAGCATCTACGTGGCAATCCAGTCACGTCTAACTCCTGTTCCGGGCATCTGACACTCTCTTAACAGCCTCCTCAGGCACTAAACACACACATGGTGCACATACATATATGCAGGAAAAATAAAAAAGGCATTTTTTTTAAAGAAAAGAATATTACCTGCAGGGTGCACAATGCTTCTATTAAAAACATAAAATAAGTATGCAAAACTTTCCAATCTTGATTTTGGAACTCACAAGAAAATTATGTTTACTTATTCTAGGTGTTTTTGATGCCACCCCTTTGGTTTTCATGGCCTCAAACTTTTGATCAATGGAGGACCTTTTTGTTGTTGTTTTGTTGCTCACACCCTGGGGTACCAAACCAGAGTGACCAAAGTCACTTACCGAAACAAACTTCTCAATTTGTTTCCGACCATTTTCTACTGTGAATTCACCATGAGTGAGCCACTTGATGTTCTTGATGGGGTTTCTGGCATCTGCAAACAAGGCAGGGGTGTGTTAGTTGCCTGGCAATGTGCTGTTACAGTAATGAGATAATCCTTAGGTCAAATAAACCAGAAACCTACCTTCCACAAATTGAACAGCAGCGGCCAGAACACCCTCCACTATAGTCCGAGCTACGTCACTTGTCCCGTCATCTTTTTTCTCTGTTACCATAGGCTTTTTCTCTCTGACCTCTAGCACAACTTTCTTCTCTTTTATTTCTGTTCCGGGCACCTTCTCTTTCATGTCATGCACAGCCTTCTTATCTTTTGTCTCTGATATGATTTGCGAAGCCTTGGCTTCCTTTGTCTCGTGCACAGGTGGCACTTCCTTCTTCTTTTTCACCTCCGGCATCACAACCTTCTCTTTTACTTCTGGCGCAGCTGGCGCAGCTGGCACAGCTGATACAATGGGCACAGCCACTTTCTCTTTTGGTTCTACTTGCGGCACAAGTTTCTTTTCTTTTGCCTCTGGCACAACAGGCACAGTCACCTTTTCTTTGGTCTCTATTGACATAATCTTGTTTTCTTTTGTGTCTGTCACAATCCTCTTGTCTTTTATGTCTGTCACAAATGTCACCGTCCTCTTGTCTTTCACCTCTGGCTTCTTGTCTTTGGGATCTGAGATTGTCACAGTCTTCTTTTCTTTTGGCTCAATCACACTCTTTTTGTCCTTTGGATCTGTAACAATGGTCACAGTCTTTTTCTCTTTCGGATCTGTTCCAGTCTTTTTTGGGTCCAACACAGTCCTACTGTCTTTTGGCTCTGTAACATTCTTGGCATCTAGAAAATCTGGTTTCTTTGTCTTGGCTGTGCTAGTGTTCTCCACAATTTTCACCTTCTGGGGTGGGAGCCTTTTTTTGTTATCCATTCTGTTTGACCTGGATTAAAAAAAAATTAAGAATTTATTCTATGTGTGCAGGGTTACAGGGTACAAACACACTCACATAAATACACACTCTCTCTTTTTAGAAAAAATGTTTTTAGAGTAATTTATCTTATTGTGTCAATGTTTTGCTTGTGTGCATGTCTGTGCACCATGTGTGCTTGGTGCACACAGAGCTTAGAAGTAAGCATTAGACCCCCTGTAACTGGCGTTATTGACAGTGGTGTGCCACAGTGTGGATGCTGGGAATCCAATCGTGGTCTTCTATAAGAGCAACAAGCACCATAAAACACGGAACCATTTCTCCGATCCCCAAACCTTGTCTGCTGGAGGATCAAAAGACTCAGGCAACACTCACTAACTCTTGAGAAGTGGCTAGGGGTAAAGGCTGGGAGTCAGACCCTCCTGTCAACCCTTTTTATTTGCTTATTTAGACGATCCTTTCCTGAATGGCTTTTCCATTCTTCAAACTGAGAAGACTTCAATCAAAATGTAGTATACCAATTCCTGGCTTCCTTGAACAATAACTCCAAACAGGAATTCTAAAAGACTAAGTCCATGCTTTCAGAAACTAAGGGCACGTGATTGTTTTTAAGATACTATTTTTAGCCAGGCACTGGTGGCACACACTTTTAATCCCAGCACTCAGGAGGCAGAGGCAGGTGGATCTCTGTGAGTTCAAGGCCAGCCTGGTCTACAGCGCTAGTTCCAGAGCAGGCTCCAAAACAATAGAGAGAAACCCTGTCTCGAAAAACCAACTAACAAACAAACCATGTGGATATGGCTGCCTGGAGATGCTAAAATAAGGCTTCAGATTGCCCTGGAGCTGCAGTTATGAGTGGTTGTAAGTCACTTGTGGATGCTGGGAACCAAACTTAGAACCTCTGGAAGAGCTGTGCATGCTCTTAACCGCGGGACGATCTCCCCAGTCCTAGCATGATTTTTTTTTTAACAAGTTGCCAATTGACAGAATAAAAATGTATTTCAGTAGTAGTAGAATACTTACCTAGCCTTGGAAAGCCTTGGATTCCATCTCTAGCAACACACACCCACCCACACACACACACACAGAGAGAGAGAGAGAGGGGGGGGCATATAATGAATCAAGAGGCATGCCAGCAGATTAGTGTTTCCATTGAGTTTTCCAAGTATATAATTCTATTATTTCAAAGAAACTCCTATTTTTGCCATCTCTTTTCCTGAACACGTGTTACTTGTGTTCCTTAGCTTTGGTTAACCCCTTGAAAAATGTTAAATGGAGGTCAAGGTGATGACTATCCCCCTTTGTATTTGATTCAGTGGGCATTGCTTTCTGCTCTTACACCATTTAGGATGACACTGGCTTATGGTCTGAGATTTGAAGCTGGGAATAGTGGTAAACATCTGTAATCTTAACATGTGGGAGATAGGAGGATTGACGCAAGTTCAAGGCTAGTCTGGGCTACATAGTGTATGTTAGGTTAGCCAATGGCTGTATAGCAAGACTGTGTTCCCCCCCAAAGAAACAAACAAAACAACAAAAATATGGGTAAGCTGGGTGTGGACCAGAAGGGGACCAGAAGCTACATAGCAGATTTAAGGCCATCCTGAGCTACATATGACTGTCTCAGAGACAGACAGAGAGAGAGAGAGAGACTGAGAATTCATTTGAGCTGAGCATGTTGATATGGCATATCCCTGTTCCAGTAGTTGAAATGGTAACACAGGAGAATTGTGAGTTGGATGCCATCTTCTGCTAAATAGTGACACCCTGGCTTTAAAAAAAAAGTGAATGGGGTTGGAGAGATGGCTGAGTGGTTAAGAGCACTGGCTGCTCTTCCAGAGGACCAGGGTTTGATTTTCAGCATCTACCTGGTAGCTCATAATTGCTTGTAACACTAGTTCCAAGGGATATGTACTCTCTTCTGGGCTCTGCAGGCACACTTGTGGTACACATATACATGACATACAGGCAAAATACCATACACATAAAATAAAGCAAGGGAAATTTTTGTTCCTGTTTAAAGAATATTTATGTTTTTTTAAAATCATAAATGTAGGTCGAGTTTTTTTTTTTTTTAAATACCTTTCAGTATCTATTGATTCCTTCAGAAATAATTGAACCCTGGCTTTCTCAGGATTGTGGAAGGGTGTGTACTTTGGGAGTCCTTCCCCCCCCCCCTTTTACATCTTTTCCCTTGAGTCTTGGGCTCACTTTTCTCACTGCTGCTTGAAACTCTTCACTTCTGAGAAATTGCTTCTAGCTTCTAGCTTGTAAATCATTTCTTGCAGGCAATTTTTTTTTGAAGTCGGATCTTATTATGTAGCCATGGCTGGCCTGGAGTTCCCCGTGTAGACCAGAATGGCCTTGGACTGACAAAGATCCATCCACTTGCCTGACTAAAGGTAACACCATGCCCAACTTCCTTGTCATCCTTGCCAGCCTATAAATGGAAGGATGTCTTTCCAAACGGAGATCTTTATTTTTCTACAAATAAAGCTCCTAATTTTGGAATGTTCAGTGTGCCATGTTTCATTTAACAACCGTAACCCTGTGGATGAGATGGACATTGGCTACTTCCACATCCACTCTCCTCTATCCCCTTACCCAAAGGCTGGCCCAAGTAGACTACAGGAAATGATCCTCTAGTGCCCTCTAGTGTCTTAGAGAGGTCACACTAGGAAGAGCATACTGACAGAACTGTGAGAGACAAACTCTATTCCCTGATGTGCTCTGTCTATGGGGTACCTGTGAATGGCTTCTTGGAGAGGCTTCTAGCTTCTCAGGGCTGCTGCAGTCTGGTTCCTTCCGATTTCTACAAGCCTCAGCAAGCTGAACTCTGTCTCCTTCTACTATGGCCACATCTTTGTGTTTCCTTGACCAACCATCTTAATTTTAGTATGCTAACGTTGTATTTTGAGACAGGGTTTCTTTGGTAACCTTTGCTGTCCTAGAACTAGCTCTGTAGACCAGGCTGACCTCAAACTCACAGAGATCCACCTGCCTCTACCTCCCAGGTACTGGAATTAAAAGTGTCCACCACCACTGCCCAGCTTAATAGTATACTAACTTAAAAAATGTTTATATATTTAATTTTATGTGTGTGTGTGTGCCTTGGCTGGGTATATGTAAGTGTATGTGTGTGTGTGCAGGATCCTGTGGAAACTAGAAGAGTGTTAGATCCCCTGGAACAAGAGTAACAGGCAGTTGTGAGCCAGTTGATATAGGAGATAGGAAAAAGAAACGCAAAAAAATATAAATAGACAAAGAGGCTTCCTGGGACCTGTTCTCACCTTCATCTAGTCCAGAATGTGTCCTTCCTTCCTGCAAACCTCTTTGTTAATTTATATTTTTTTGCATTTATTTCTTTAGTTTGGAGGGCATGGCCGCCCCAGCACACACGTGAGGTCAGAGGATGACTTCCAGAACTTGGTTCTCTCTTTCCACCATGAGTCCTGGGGACCATCTTTATGCACTGAGCCATCTCACTCAGCCATCTCACTATTGCTGCAAGCCTCTTTCATGAAAGATAACCCATTGCTTCCTTTTTAAACATCGTTGGTCCCACAGGTATGGTGGACACCGCGCAAGGCAAGCAAGTCCGCATGAGCACCAATAATAAAATTCTGCATACTCTTTAAACATTCCTGTAGAATTTCAGAGTAATGCTCATTTAGGCCTTACTATTTTCATTTTCTGCTCCATTCACCCCCCACTCACTTTTCCTCCTGCTGCAGCTGACAGAAAACATGCCCATCTGTTGGAAGCAACAGCGTCTTTCCCAAGCCCTTTTTGGCTACATAGGAAGTTTGAAAGCAGCCTATGTTATATAGACTCCTTCTCTCCAAAACAACAGCAACAAACCAGAAAAGGAGCGATTGAGGAAGGACAGAAGGAAGCAAGCCTTTTAATTTCACCCCTCTGTGGATAGACATCGTTCTGAGGTGTCCCTCTCACTGTCTTCTTTGAAGTCAGGGTGATTAATAGAACCACTACACATAGCATTTGAGGCCTCCCCCATCGCAAAGAAAGCCCGGTACCTAAATGAGTAGATTCTTGTTTGAAGCAGTAGCAGAGGTAGCTAGGGAAGCCTTAGCAGTCTCGCAGCGCTTTGCCTCAAGGTTCCTAGACAGAATGTTTACAAATGCTGCCACAGCAACGATGGTCCTTTCAACAATGGAAAGCTAAGTCCATGTTCTCCTGTCAATAAAACAGAAGAAGGCATGAGGAGGGAGGACACCCGCTCCCCTTGCCATTTGGCCTCAGTAACAGAACTAAGCTGTGTCAGGCAAGCCTCACTTCTTCACAGGAGATGAGCTTGCAGGGCTGTGCCTGGAGGACTGCTGATGCGACATTCCTCACCCAAGAAGCATTGCACATTTGCATGCTGTGCAGGTCACTTCATCAAGCTGCCTACTTCCTGCAATGGTGCCAGAAGGCAGGTATCAGCTTTCATATTATCTTTGAATGAAGTGAGGTGCAGAGGATGGCATGCAAATAACCCACAGCTCAAACCCAGAACTGTCTGGAATCATTGACTACAATCTCACTTTTCATGCCTACATTCTGAGGTTAGAACCTCTTTATACGCTCGGCCATTCTGAAAGCTGTCTTGTGCATTGAGGATGAGAGTGTTGAGATACTCTGCTTTGTGCTTTTCTTTTCTCCATTTCTTCCATTCTGGTCCCCCCTCCCTTTTTTTTTTCAAGACAGGGTTTCTCTCTGTGTAACGCTGGCTGTCCTGGAAGTTGCTTTGTAGACCAGGCTGGCTTTGAACTCAGAGATCCGTCTGCCTCTCAAGAGTTGCTTTTCTGTAAAATGATAATTAAGCCCAATTGTTCATAAGAAGATTAAGAGCAGTGCCAGATACATCATAAACTTTCATTATAATGGTTGATAACATTCCTAGTATCATTATTAATAATAGTGGTGTGTTTCTAAGATTTATTTATTTTATTATTTTATTTTTTAAAAATTTATTTGTTTATTATGTAAATGCTTGAGG